GGACGAGCTGGAGAACGCCAAGTCTGTTGCGCACGCCCAGGTCGCCAGGTCCTGACCCGAAAGAAAGACCTTATAGCGCCAAGGAGGTCATGAAGCGCGGCGTTCCGCGGACGCCTTCCCGGAAGCGGAAGCTTGGGGGGCGGGACAAGGGCCGTCCGGACGCCTGGGCGGTTAATTCTTTTTTGCTTACGGCTTGGTTTCCCTACGTCTGGGCGGTTCTGAAGCTGAGAAAAATGGTCAGGTCCGGATCTCGACCCGGCCAGGTGAGGGCTGTGGACCCGATGAGTCCACAGTGGGATGGCGAGGGACTAAGGGGACTTAGGAAGGTGCTAGAAAAAATAAAAGCAAAGACTGCAGCGTCTCTCAGAGCGGTGAGGACGTCGCTGGGTAAATGCTTTGTTTCAGGCGTCTCAATAGAGCTCTGAGTTTGGTGACAGGTCTCAGGTTCGAACCCCAGCCTTTATCTTCAGTGCAGTAACTTCTCTTAGCTTTAGTTAATCCTTGCCCCCAGATTCAGATTCTCGGCGCTTCTACCAATGCTTCTATTTTCCGATCTCTGTTGTTGGTGAAGCCCCCCAATAAGTGCCCATACCAGCCCTACCGTTCTCAAATACTCTTGATGTAATCTAGTCACTGCCCAAATTACGACAGGCAGTCCTATGTCAAGGCAAATATTCTTTGGCTTGATTTTAGAAAACACGCGACATACATGATAGATTAGGGTTTGGTTTTGTTTTCCCGTCATTTATCAACATACCTATAATGTTGTCTTACCTAATAATGTGAATTTTGCACTCTTTTTTCATGACCTGTCTTGAGACTTCTGTTTTGAATGGATGCATATTGCCAATATGTAGATGAATATTTGCTCTAGTCATGAAAGAAATGGAAATTAAAACCATGAGATATTTTCTAATACAAAACCTGCATTAGTGAGAGTGTTGTATACAGTCCTGATGGGAATATATATAGTATAGCTGCTATGAAAAATTGGATGAAGTTTCCTCAGAAAATAAGCCAAGCATGGACATATACAACCGTAGTCCTCATGCTTGGGGGCCTGAGGCAGGAAGATGGTGAGTTTGAGGCCAGCTTGAATAACAGTGAAATCTTGCTTCATAAAGCCAAACTATTTAAAGTACAGCTAATATGACCCTGCCAGCCCCATTAGTAGGTATTCATTCAAAAGAATTGAAATCAAGATTTTGCATTTCCTTTCATTGTCAAATTATTCATGAAGAAACAACCTAAATGTCTACAAGTGAATGGGTAAAGAAATGAAGGGTTATATACTGTTAATTGAATATTATTCAGCCTTAAATTCTGCCATATGCAATAGCAAATGTAAAGTTTGAGACTTCTAAGTAGAAATAAGCTAGTCCTAGAAGGACAGATAATGCATGACTGAACTTACATGTGGGACCTGAAGTACACAGACAGACAGACACCGCATGACTGTTCTTACATGTGGGATCTGAAGTGGACAGACAGATACTGCATGACTGTTCTTACATGTGTGACCTGAAGTAGTTCAGTTCAGAAGCAGAGTAGAATGGTGACTGCTGAGGCTGGGGTGGGGAGAACACGGGTTGCTATTCTATAGGTATCAAGTTTTAAATGTGTCAGATGAAATCTAGAAATCTGCACTGTTGTGCCTATAGTTAATGAAGGGACAGTAGCCTACTCAAGCATGTGGCTCTGACAGGCCTTGCCCTTCTCTCTTATTCCCTCTGCCTTGCTAAAAACTGTTAGATTACCTTCCTAAAGGTAGACACCAAGGTCTGTTCCTCTATTTAGCCACTTTCTCCTCCTGAGACTGACTACCATGGTCCAGCTGTCAAAGTATTGAAGTCCAGCAATCAAAAGTCCCCTTTGGCTGCTCTGATTAACATGCCCAATCAAAACAAACCAACTCATCCTAAGGGGCGGGGGTTCCCCTTGTATCTTCATAAACTGCCATTTGCCTATGTTCCACATCTGTCTCTCTATTCAGAGGTAGTCCTCTGTCCTCTTCGGACAAATACCCTTTCCCTCATTCCCCTCCCCTTCTCTGTCTCCTGTCTTGGTCTCTTATTCCCTGCCTTCTGTCCCTCTGCGGCAAACAAATCTCCTCAGTCATGGTGGTCCTGAGCTGATATTTTTCTTTTCAGTTAATACTTTATTTTGTTAAGGTAGATGAAATATTAAATATTTTTTATGACAGTCTTTATAAAACATAAGAAACAGCTCAAAAAATTCTGGGGTTTGGTTAAAAATGATAAAGTATCCAACTTAGTGGAGCTTCCTCTGACTGATTCTGGAACAATCTGACCCTCAACTTTAAAAAAAAAAGTTTTATAAACTATATCATTAAAAACTTGCTAGTAGAAAGTATCACAAATGATAATTATCCAGACTCAACGTCTATACAACTCAGTGAACTTCTGTACAGCTAGAATAACCATTCTGAAGCTGTGAAGCTTAACACTGGATTTTATACTTTAACTATTAAATACTTTTTAAAGTACTTTTCCATCACCAAAAAATGAAAAATCTATGGCAAAGAACTAGAAAAGCAATTACTTTTATACCCTCTTCCATAACTATGTCCATTGTCTGCATTCAGTTTTTTCTTTCTTGTTTCTTTTTCACTTTCTATATTGTGTCCACCTATATATTTGTTTATATATGAGTGTCAGTACATACGATAATGGATCTTATATGGTTGGTTGACCAGAATAGGAATCAATGTTCTCACACTAACCAATTAACAAGGAAGAAAGGTCCTGCCCTAGTTCTAATTTATTAGTTGAAATTAGCTAATAATCAGAGCAAATTGTGTAGCAAAATAAACAATCAACTTAAACAGGAACCATAAATGGATGTTCAGACTACTAAGTGAAAGTTTGAAGATAGCCACATCGTGTCAGGGTATCTTACAAAATACTTAATTAGAAGCAAAAATCATAACCTTAATGATGAAAATCCTGGCAGACACCTTCTTAAATCCATTTATATCACCAGTAACAGGACAAACTAATGTCATTTGCTTATTTGTATTGAAAGTGACACATCTCTTGTATTCCTGCCAGAAATTCATAACCTGTAGTCTGATCCTGAGGAATCAGTCAATCCAAATGTTCAGGGGGGCCATTATGCAAAATAACTAGCCTTTACTTTTTAAGTATGTCAAAGTTATGGAAGATAATGACAGCCCAAGGAATTTGGATTTAAGGAGATTAAAGAGCCATAGCAATTTAGTGCAATGTGTGATCCTGGACTGGATATGGACTACTCTTTCGTCTTTATTTTTTATAAAGGATAATATTAGAATAAGTATAGTATGAATCAGGTCCATCTAGAGTAGAATATAATCTCAAAGTTTTCAACTTTTATGGCTATATTAGGAAATTTTGATCTTAAGAAACATTTAGGAATATTATGATTGTGGCTTATTTTGAAGTGGGCAGACAAAGAATAATGGTTTTTGTTTTGAGATGTATTTGTGTCAGGTAAAACACTGTTTTTGTATGATGTTGTAGATTCATGACACTCCATCAGATCCCAAGGGATCTCAAAAAATGTCAACCTCATAAAAGAAAGGAAGTTTTAGTTTATGCTACAGTACAGATGAAAGTTAAAGATACTTTGTTAGCCACAGAAGGACAGATCCAGTTGTGTAAAAATGTATTCTCAGGAACATTATTAGAAGGGGCAAAAAAATGTAAAAGTGTGAGTGTATGTCTGTGTGTGTCCCCAAATAGAAAAATGTAGACATGCAAAGACTTGAATGAATGCCAACACTGAGTGGATCAAATAGTGGAATGAGGGGAGGATTGTGGGCTTTGATGTCTGGACATTTTATTTTTCAGATACAAGTTATTAAGAAATAAGTGTATACGATAGAAAGTTTCTCTGTTGCCTGCTCTGGAAGTGGCTCTTATCTGCTTCTCCAGATGTTCAATTTTCCTGCCTAAAGACAGCTTTGTTGCACAGCTTCCAGGATGCTGGGTGCATGTAAAAGCGAATGAACATCTTTTCTATAGAAAAGCTATCCCACCTATATGAGTTTCAAAATGCAGGCTTAAAATTGTTATTTGAGTTTAAAAATTTAGAATGAAAAAATGAGATGTAGAAAAAAAGCAGGGTTTGGTTTTCTTTTTTTTTTTAATCTTTTTTTTCTTTTTTTTTTTTTTTTTTTTTTTTTTTTTTCTAGACAGGGTTTCTCTATGTGGCTTTGACTTTCCTGGAACTTGCTCTATAGATCATGCTGGCCTTGAACATAAAGATCTGCCTGTCTCTGCCTCCTGAATGCTGGGACTAAAGGCATGAGCCACCACCGTCCAGCAAGGCAGTTTTTAATGTGCTAGTTTTGTTGAACAGTCTAACCAGAATATGAAGAAAGTTTGCACTTTTTAGTGCATTTAGATGGGTGCGATCACCTGTGCATCTGTGTGTGTGGTCAGGGATCGATTTTCTTTCTCTAATACTCTCCACCGTACTTTTTGAGACAGAGTCTCTGACTGAACCTGAAGCTCTCCCCTGTTTTGGCTAGACTGGTTGGCCAGTGATCCCCGCCAGGATCCAGGGTTCTCCACCCTCCATTGCTAGGGCTATAGGCAGGGGAGCTTTTGTGTAGATGCTGGGGATCTGAACTCAGTTCTCATGCTTGAGTTGCAGTCAGTTTACCCTCTGAGATGTCTGCCTGGCTTTGTGTATGCTGGACAAGCACTTTTCCACTGAAATGCCTTCCCGACCCCTTTGAATTGCATATATTGGAGAATTTGGAGAGTTTAGAATATGCTCAAGGATTGAGTATAGCCTTATATAATTGTAATAGGTCCTTTTGACTTAAAAATAATAAAAGTTTTTTTTCTTTTTTCTTTGTTTTTTGAGACAGGGTTTCTCTGTGGCTTTGGAGGCTGTCCTGGAACTAGCTCTTGTAGACCAGGCTGGTCTCAAACTAACAGAGATCCGACTGCCTCTGCCTCCCAAGTGCTGGGATTAAAGGCGTGTGCTACCAACGCCCAGCTTTTCTTTACAGATGTAAGAAATAGACTAAAGAAACAAATGCATGTGCTGCTTTCCTCACATTGCATGTAGAACAAATTTATTGCATAAAAGCTAAATTATAATTGTGGATTTGTAAGCTACTTCCCATTTATAAGGAGTAAGTGGTATGCTACCTTCATAGAAGGGAATAGTCAACCTCATAAATGAAAGGAAGTTTTGGTTTATGCTACAGTACAGATGAAAGTTAAAGATACTTTGTTAGTCACAGAAGGACAGATATTCCATTTCCAAGTGGTTTCTAAAGTCATATTTTTAAAAGAGCAGAAAAGTGGTTATCAGGGGGTGAAAACTATTGAAGGGACCAGACCCTCATCCAGCCCCCTGCTTTGGCAGCCATGACAGGCTTCAGAAAAGACCCAGCAAGATACAGACCTCTGTCTGACTCAGTGCATGTTCCGACCTTCTGACCTTGCTGGGCCTGCCCCAGTCACTAGGAAGCCAGATACTCTCCATGTGGCAAGGAACCAATCAGAAGTTGTCTGGAGGGCTCTGGATGTGCTTTATGAGCCCTGGATGTGCTTTATGTTAACAGTGATGTATAGAGCATAGCAATCATCCTGGGAGGGCCTATAGGTCATAGCAACCAGCTGACCAATCAACACAGGACAGGTCACCCAAGCCCAGAAGTGCACCAATCCTGAAACTGTTGCGGACCCCAGACACTCCCCTTACTCCACCTCAGTAAATTCCCTGCCCCACAGTTCCTCCAGGTCCTTCTTGCTCCACCCACTGTGTCAGATGGATGGAGGAACCAAGTTAATACAGTTAACTAGTTAAATAAAAGACTTTGCTTTTGCATTGGATTGGGCCTCTTGGGGATTCAGAATTTGGGCACAACACTATGTTTCAGTTTTGCTGTGTTAAAAAAAAAAAAGAATATTTCAGGAATGTCAGAAATGGCAACCTAATAGAACAATAATTATGTACCTATTGTAATATAATATATTATGTCATAGGTGATATCTTCAGGAAAGTGCCTGGGATCTAAGTTAACACATGGAAAGAAAGGGTGAGTACTTCTTAAAGTTTCCAAGTTCAGGAACTCTTAGATAAATTTTCAGGTCTTAGGGCTTGATTGTATTTTGCATACCCCGAGAAAATAAGTGGGCTCTGCCTTCACAAGTAGTTGGTGTTATGTAGATTATAAATCATTAGTGATGAAGTCCAATTCACTAATAATACATCAGTGTCACACTGAGGAAAGAAAAGTACTTCCTTTGAAGTCCTTTAACCAAGAATGAGTCCAGATTTGAATTCTCTCCAATATTCTCCCTGTGTCTCCTTCCTCTGTCTGTTTTATGAATCTGAATCTTTGCCTGCCTGGGGCTCTCTTGTGAACATGTCCCTGTGTCTGTCTGTCGTCTCTGTATGTATATAAATACAGAGGGCTTTTCTCTGAATTTCTTGGATCCCACGCACACAAAAGCATCACATGAGGATGGAATGGGATACTTTATGGGAATCTTTGTAACAGAGTTTTACAAGAGATTATGTCACTCCAATTGACCCAGACAACAGTGTTTATCAGCCAGTGGTAGATTTTAGGAGGCTGTTTTCAACTTCTGTGTTGGCTGCCTTCAGCAAATGATGCACAGGCATGGGTCAGGGGCATGGAAAAGGACATAAGACTGCAGCTGTGCATTATCTTAGGTTGTAAAAGTTGATTACAGGGGAAATCCAAGGCTGTTAGGTCGGTTGTTGTGTTGCTCTCTTAAAGGCAGGTTAAACATACAGGCTGAGCACACAGTAGGGCAGCAGTCTTAGTCTTACGTGACCTCAAGGTATATTATTCACTTTGGCTGTGAGGTCCAGCAAAAGTTTCAGTCTCTTAGAATGTAACAGATGTTCTCAGAATATTGCATCCCCCCACACCTCCCTCACCATACCAGCCTGAGTGAGTAATTTTAGTGTCTAGAAGTCTTCACAATCTCCACAGTGTCCTATTTACCTCATGTGTGGTTAGATGAGCTTTATTCTCCAATCTTTACTGGAAAGGAAATGATTATTTACATATTTTGAGAAAAAGATACTTGCATTTTTTTAAAGGGTATCAACTTTGTTTTCTAGGACCCACCCAAGAAATATAGCACATTTAAATGCAGTTCCCACCTGTCCTGTTTATTCTGATTCGGAAAGTCAGGTAATGGATACAATAAGTCAAGTGAATGGATACAATATTACTATTTTCATTAGACCTCAGGTTAAAGCTAAGAAGTAGGACTATAGTCCAAAGGTAAAGTATGATTTTCACTGAGGATGTAGGCTTTTGCTTGAAGACATGTTTTCTACCAATAATAAATTGCTTATAAAGAAATGTATTTGAGCAGGTGGTGGTGGTGCACATCTTTAATGCCAGTATTTGGGAGGTAGAAGCAGACAGATCCCTGAGTTCAAGGCCAGCCTGGTCTACAGAGTGAGTTTCAGGACAGCCAAGGCTACACAGAGAAACCTGTCTTGAAAGACCAAACGAGAAAAAAGAAAAGAAATGCATTTGAAGTGGCGTGGTGTATTTTATCTCTAACAGCTTTTTTCTTCTAGCCGGAGATTGTGCAGGGACTTGATGGCTGTACTTCTTTGCTCCGGGACATTTTGAAAAATGAAGATCCAGGTTCTATTTTTTTAAAGTTCTTTGCCGATCACCTTTTTATCGGTGAACTAGTTCTTTTTTAATGTTTACAGACTTTTTTTTGTTTATCGTTACAGGCCCAGAAATAGTATATTCGGAAAATAGATGCAATGCCAGACCTTTAGAAAGCAAAAACTGCAGAGCTAAAAAGAAAGGACCTGGAAAACATGCTCCTCCAGTGGTCCGAAAAGAAATATGTAAGCATTTTCTATATTTACTTAAAGATTTTGTGTGTGTGTGTGTGTGTGTGTGTGTGTGTGTGTGTGTGCGCGCGCGTGTGCCCATTGCATACACATGGTATCTGTCTTTCTTTATTCACTCCCTACCTTTATTTTGAGGCATTGTCTCTCACTGAACCTGAAGCTTGTGGGTCTGACTAGGCTGGCTGGCAGTGAGCTTCGTGGATCCCTCTGTCCCTACCTCCCCAGGGCTTGTGTTAAGGACTGTGCTGTCAGCCCTTGCCAGCCTGGGATCCAGATTCAGATTCTTGTGTTTGAACAGCAGGCACTTTACTGACTGAACAATCTTTCTAAACCCTAGGCTGAAATTTTAATAAATTTAAAAATTGATATTGATCCAATTATAAAACTTAAAGAATTTTGGAATAATTTGCATGTAAAATCTACTCTTTCAACTATAAATTATATACAGTCTAAATAGAGATGAAATATTTCTGATGACTGTTTAGCATCTGGTGTAAAGTTTACTTTGTGTAAAATATATGCTGGATTTTGAAGATTTCATACAATAAGTGTTTTGTTCTGGGCATTGCACACTGAAATGTTAGTATTCTGGCTACATTTACTGATTTATTTTTGTGGTGTTAGGAATCAAACCTAAGGCCTTTTACATGCTAGGCAAGAAATATACTATTGAACTGAAACCCCAACTCTGGCTACACTTAAGAAAACATGAAAAGTAAGTCATTCTTTTAACTTCTTAGTGTGGCTACTTAAAATTTTAAATTACATATATTGCTTACATTATGTTTCTGATGGATAGTATCAGTCTTAACTAGGTCAGTACCATATAGCCAGTTGTGTTTTTAGAAGTAATATTTAATTTTATTTTGTAACTGAAGTTTTGTTAGAACCTACTGTTCATATATTTTCCATGGCTGCTTTTATGCTGCAGTGCTAGTACTGAGTAGCTGTGATGGAGACCATTTAGCTCAGTAGGCCTTTAATGTTGACTCTGGCCTTTTAAGATTGAAAGAAGCCTGTTGGGAGGTTTTGGTTTTGTTTTGTTTTGTTTTGTTTTGTTTTTTGGCACACTTGTTTGGAGTTTGTTAATTTGTGTTGGATGGTGACATCTGCTGGCAGAGACAGAGCATGTGTAGCTCAGCTAGTGCCCGTGAACATGAAATCAGAATTCCTCAGGTTAGATAGTTCTTAAGGAACCAAAGGAAGTCTAAAAAGCGACACCTAGCACTCAAAGAGAGAAGAAGATTATGTGCTTGTGGTTATGGACTATAATCTCCCGTGTTTCACCTTAGACTTCAAAGTTAAAATATTTTTAGAGGATATTTTTCTATTTTATTATAAAATTGTATTTTCAATAAAAACTGATACTTTATAGGAAATTATTAGCTAATTTTGTTGTAGCTCATCTGGTAGAGAAGATCCATTATTGCTCTGGGTTTTAATCATTTCAGAGGGATCATGTTTAGATAGCAAGATTTACTAATATGAAAATATCTACTTATCTGGCTAATTTGAAACTAGTTGATGATATAACATGTTGAGGTTTTTTTTTTTTTTCACTATGTACTACATGTTGTTCTAAGAAGTTGCCAAATGTTATTTACAGCTCAAGAATCTTGAGGTCGGTGGTTTTACTCTCTTTGTAACAATGAGATTAAACTAGAAAAAGACAAGTACAATATAGATTCACTTTAACTGAGAGGCTTCATCAGATAAGGAGTTAATAGGCAAGCAGTCAGGTTTTTATAATGTGTGACCAGTGTCGGGATGGAATTAAAGAATGACAGGGAAATTGAAGGAGTAAGTAGGGAACCTCAATGTGAGGTGGTGATTGGCAGCATTAAGCAAACTTACTCTTCCACTCTCAAAATTACAAATACACCAGCCTTTCCTGAGGTTTCCATCTAGTAATGAAACATTAGGGAGGTGGAGGAAACTAATGATTCCCCACAGGGTCTGTCTTATCTTAGAATTCTGTCAGGCTTCTAGAGTGTGGTCCTAAATTCACATTCACCTTCTAGTGGGGTTTCCCAAAAATGAAGCCTTGGGCTCTCCATACCCCCAGTGATGCCTATCAGAATTTAAAGATTCATTTTCTAAACATCAAACTTCTCACATTGTTAAATGGTATATTGTGATTGATTAATTATTGAAGGGATGCTCCAAATCCATCAGCTGACTTTTCTGCTCCCCTCATTAGATCTCTCTAGTTTCTTGGATGTTGTCCCTTAAGATCCCATTTAGTGTAGGAGCTTCCCATAGCCATTTCAGTGGGACAGTGTGAGCCTTGTGCTCCTGAGGGTTGGATTAGAACAAACAGCATGTTCTTTTCATCTTTAGAAAATGATCTTTGTCTCCTTGTGGGTCTTACATATCATGTTCCTCCATGTTCAGGCATTGCCTGTGACTGTCTTTTCTAACAGTACATATATTCTTCACAAGAATGCTGGTTTTGAAGACTCACTGCTGTGATAGTCTCCTGCATAGTGGGCAACAGACACAGAGTTTGGACTTCTTCCTAGGAAAGATGGGGACAGGGCCTGCAAAAGCTGCACCTGCCTTCTGTGGTGCTTGGGTCTGTTAGTTGATTGTCCCATGCAGATGCAGCAGGCACAGTCTGCAAGACTGGGATGTCTGAATTCATTTTTGTAAGGACTTTTTCATCTCACCTATCTTCCTGCAGAAGTAATATTATGTCAGACTAGGAGTCAGGCCTCAATGTCTCCAGCCAGCCCTAAATCCACTCTGCTGAAGAAGCTATATTTTAATCTTTTCTTTTAAACCATTCTTTTAACCATTTTTCTAATAAAAACGAGGAGGTAGAGAAAGGTTAGGCAAACCCTCAAGGCTACTCAGCTAGTAAGTGAACATTTCAGTAGATGTCCTTTAGTAGTCATAAATGTTCATGTGTAGAAGTGGAATTGTGTCATAGCTTGTATATGTCTTTTGTAGGTGCCCACCCCAAGCTATTCTTCAAAGTCTATTTTGTATAACTTATGATCTACCATACACTCTCATTTCTATTAATGCTATTTAGCAAACATTGAGGAAGTGGAGTCTTATTAGACAGGGAAATAGAATCTAGATTTTTTTTATACTAGTTATAGAACAGCGCTGTATCAAAAACCTTTTCATTCTTTAGCTTAATAATACCAGACTTATACTTTGCACGTACACTAGTGAGGGTTTTAATAATGTAAGAAACAGCCCTGCATAGAGAAGCTAGAGTTACAGAGGGCAAAGACAATAAAATCATAAATAGTGTAGGCCAGTATAAGTATGGTATATGATTTAAGTAAAAGGTGTGTGTTCTGGGATGGTAAAGAGCAGTTGCTAGACTCATCAGTTTAGAAAAAAGCTTTCTGGAAGAAGAACACATACATGAATCTTGGTGAGGGCATTGCATTGGAAGAGATAGTCCATCACAAGAAAGTGATGAAAGCAAGGCTCCCTAGGTTCTATGCTAGCCTAGTGTGATGAAACATTCAAGTTTTGAGGGTAATGGAAAGAGAGTTGAAAAAGCAGAAAATTGTTTCTTCATGCTGATTGTCCACTCTTATTACTGGTTGGCCTCCTGTTCCTCCTCCTTCCTTCTCTTCCTCCTTTTTTTTCCTTTTCTTCCTTCTTCCTTCTTCTCCTTCTTCTTTCTTTCTTCCTATGAAAACATAGAAAGTTACAAAGTGTCCTACCTTTCCTATTCTGTTTCCCACTGAGAACTGGACAAGGGACTGGGTGAGAGGCTTATTGAACGTCCATGATAATGTAATACCTGTAACAGGTGTTGTAACTAAAGGGAAATTTTTTTTTCAAGTAGCATTTAATGGAGATTTTAAGAAAATTCATCTGAATTCAGACTGGGGAAAGGAAACTTAATTCATTAAATACTTTAAGAAGAACTTGGGATAATTTTCTTCAGGGAGTTACTGTAAATCCCGTCTATAAGCAGATGATCAGTTGAACTACATCTGAGAGTTTTTTGGGGGGTTTTTTGCCCCTAAGATATTAGGGTAAAAGTTGCTCAAGACTCATATTTAAGAACTTACTTCCTTTTTTCCACATTAGTATCTTCAGAAAATAAGAAATGGATATCCAATGAAGCTTCTACTGGAAATGAAAAAGACAAATCAGACATAGCACAGCATTGGTCATTACAAGACCATTATAGAATGTACTCACCAATAATATACCAAGCCCTCTGTGAGCATGTGCAGACTCAAATGTCACTGATGAATGCATTGACTTCAAAAAATGCTCCCAATGGAATGCCTACTGCGTGTCATACTGTATCTGGTTTAGGTTAGTATGATATTTGAATATTGAATGTAAGCCATGGCTCTTTGTTATTATATAAGCACTATAAAATATGGAGGATACTTATGCTATTTGGTTTTTGTTTTTTTTACTTCTTTTTAGAATCTCACGCAACACCACCTTCTGGTTATGGCTGTTATACTTCCACTTCAGTCTGGTCACCTCAGCAGCCGTCCTGCCCTCTAATGGTTCACTCTGTGGGTATAGTTTGTATACTAAACAAGTAATAGCTTGCTTATAAAAATTGTCATTTTAGCAGTGGAATATTGAATTTACTCATCAAATGTACTAGGATGTAAAACCAATTTTACATATTTTTTTGCATTAGAAAAGTTTTACCTATTAAGAGCAATAGGTGTGCTGGGTGGTAGTGGTGCACACCTTTAATCCCAGCACTTGGAAGGCAGAGGCAGGCAGATATCTGTGAGTTCGAGACCAGCCTGGTCTACAAGAGCTATTTCCACGTCAGCCTCCAAAGTCACAGAGAAACCCTGTCTCGGGGGGGG